CTCTGTTCAAACAAGACCGCACCCATGTTTAAAGCTCTCATTTCTGTTTACAAGAGAACAAGGTGGCAGATGAAGGCTTGCTACTTGACATTCCAGAATATTTTTTCCCTTAGCAATTGTTTCAGTGTATCCTTGTTAAACAAAGAACGAACTGGCTCAAACAAAAGTGGAATAATTCACTTTCTACTGTATTTGATAGGCATGAATGAATAATGCTTTTAACTCTCTGACATTCAAAAGAAAAGACTAAAGAAACTAAGATACATTAAGATAAGAAAATCAAATGAAAACACTGAAAGACGATTACCAAATGGAAGACTCTACCTATATTGGCTTTCAAAACCACCAGCCTGTGACCACAAAAGAAATCTTATACTCTGCGATAAAAGCAACTGCAGGGGGAAAAAAAAAAAAACCAACCACAATGCAGCTGGGCATGAACCATCAATTTGGATGTCCAAGCACTGAATCATGTTGCTGTGACTGAACAGGCAAACAATATCCAATCTAAGATAAAAGTATCAAGTGTATGCTTTTAGGAGCCCAAGGCCTAAATCATAAAACGTATTCAAGTACTTAAAAGAGGCATCAAGATTTTTAGAAGTGTCCATAACCCAACTTCCTCAGGAAAAAAAAACAACAGATCATGTGGACCACCACTGGGAAACCAGCAGATAAGGAACGTGCTAACGTGTACCATCCAAAGGTGATGTCTTAGGCCGTGGAAACTCAGGACTTAAGCTGTCCAAAATAGGGTTGTTTGCTCCAGGACACGTTTATTTAAGCCCCTGCATAATAAAATCATCCTTTTGATAAAATGTTCCAAGATAGACCAAATCATGTATTTTTTCGAATGCTATTGCAGCAAGAGCACCAAATAATCCTATTATGTAATCATTTTATGTTAAGGCTTTGTCTTCACAGAATATACCAACCTAAGCAAATCAGGGACTTATGGAGGTCTTCAAAGTAGGGCCAACGTGCCTCAAGGCCTTGTCTAGCTGAGTTTTGCATGCCTCCAGGGATGGAGACTCCACAGCCTCTTGGGCAACCTGTTCCAGTGCACTATTCTCCAATGAGGAACTTTTCCCTTATGTCTAATTGTAATTTCCCTTCCTACAGCTTGTGACTGTTGCCCCTTGGCCTTCCAGTGCCTACTTCTGAGAAGGGTATGTTTTCCTCTATAACCCCTTTACTGCAAAGGTGAGCTGCTGAGCTGTTCAGCATGTTTTCCGTTGGGACCATCAGGTACTTTTCTGCAGAGCTGTTCCCCCCACCTTGTGTTGACGAATGGCATTTATTCTGTCACAAGTGCAGGAATCTGGATTTACCTTCACTGAACTTCATTCAGTCCCTGTCGACCCATTCCTCTAGCCTGGCCAGGTCCCTCTGAACAGAGGCTCTGCTCGCCAGAGCATCAGCAGCTCTCCTCCCCAGTTTGTGTCATCTGCAGACGCGGTGAGGGTGGCAATTCCTCTTCTTCACCCAGAATGTGCAATCCACTCCTGTCCTACTGCTTTGTCGTTCTGCAACATTACCTGAATTAACTTGTTCTTCACCGTTTCCCATTAGAATAGCTCACAGGAATGCTGCTCCATTCATCTAATGTTTGAATAAACAGCACTGTGGTAGAGAGAAACTTCTAAAAAAATTCCTGGGCCAAATCCTTATCTAGTATAAATTCCTCACATTTCTAATCAGCTTATACTAAACAAAGATCCAGGCTATTCATTCAAAAGTCAGAGTGCCAGTAATGTATTTAAAAATCAGCAGGTCGTTTATTGCGACTAGTTCTCAGTGTTGCATGTATTAGTTCACTGTTGGCATAAACATCTCCTGGAGGAGCACCATGAACTGGGCTACTTCTGCCTCACTGCCGAGTTAGAACAAGCAAACAAAAACATGCCGAGCATTTCTACACTCAGATATATGTGTTTTTGAAGAAAGAATTCCTATTATTTGAATGCATTTATTACCAGTTGAGCCTTCCTAATCTCTAGATACCTCTCGGGCTTAGAAAAATATGCCTTTTTACAAGAAAATATTTTTTATAATCCTTAAAATAAATTTCTTACACAACAGCGTAATCTAAAAAATACTCACAATGGGAGCAAAGTTAGAAAAACACTACCACCCATTAAAACCCCACCCTCCTGCTGTCCTTGACCATTAGCCCAGGCCTCCATTGCAGCCTCTCTTAATTTGACCCAAGGAGCTAATACCATTTACTTGAGTTCACTTTTCATGACGGGAACATTCAATATAGAAGATGTCCCTTGGAAGAGGGAATCAGAGACAAACAACAGTGCCTTTTCCATGACATCTATGCTGGATCACTCAAAGTTCACAACAGATCGCTTCACAAACAGGAGACCGCTTCAAGTCAGCTTGCAAGAGAGCCATTAAATAAAGCTAGCTCATTTATAAATAAAGCTAGCAGATTTATTCACCTTATTGCTCCTGATTTCCTAGTCCAGGAAATCAGATGTTAATCATACTGGACACGGTATGATTTCAGGTTTGATGGCTGATATAGAACGTAGCGGTTCTAGGTCTCCTTCCACTAACACCACCTGTACCCTGTCCACAGTCATCGCACCCAGGAGCTGCTTCTGATTTGCAGCAGCGAGAGGAAGGTGAGGCTTCAGCCCTCAAAACCAGTTGTAACAAAACTGGAATATGAGAACATGGATTTGTCTTAAAAGATTTTCCTAGATAAATCACTCTACAGTTTGGATTATACATGGGCTTGGCAGTGGTGTCACCTTCACCGCTTCTGCAGGCAGACCCAGCCCTCCACGAGTGATGCTGGCTGTGCAGGATGAAAGCAGAAGACCAGCTGGCAACCCATTCTGCTCGGAGAGGGCTCTTGCCTCCTCAAGATCTGTGAGCATTGAACCGTACCCTGTAGCAAATGTGAGATGGTGCTCAAGAAAAGGTGAAATCTCACCTCAATACCTGCTTCCAGTATTCCCAGTGTTGCCCCTCAAATGCCTGAGGATACCCAAATATGTTAAGTGGGTTCTCTACACACACATGGAGGGGTGTGGGTGTCTAATCCTGGTCTGTTTCTGGGCAAACCTATAAACCCACGTAGTCTTGGGCTCCCTGGGTCCTGGGTCTTGCCCAAGCCTGAAATCTGCTGAAGGCACAAGTCAGCAACTAAGTTACAGACATCATCTTCTGCCACAAGAGGAAATAACGATAAACTGCTTTTCTGTGCAAGGCTACTTATTTCCAGCAATTCTGCAATGCGGAAGGAAGGGACAGGGAGGAGGGGAAGAGGCCGGCTGGGAAGGCAGCAGTTTATGCCTGCCACTCACCCCTGCGTATGGTTTGAATGTGCAGATGAGCTGCTGCCTCTGTTTTTCCAGTAGCTATAATCCTATTAAAACACTGCTAATTTAATTGTTTAAAAATCTACCAACCCCTAATAAATGTGAGATGGTCTCGAAAGGAGTCCTTCCTGCAACACCCATGTTCCACACAGTGCAGCAACCAGCAGGATCAGCCTGGTCCCCTCACCGCTCTCCTGGTGCGGGTTTGAAGCAGACCTTGTGCACCATTCTTTGGCAAACCTCTGTGAGATCTTTGCCGTGGTGGGGCTCCTTGGGCCACCGGGCTCTGGGCCGCACCTGGTGTGTGTCAGACCCGGCAACTCGGCTGTTAAACTAACAGCAATCCCAGCTGAGGCCAGTGTGTGCGTTACGGATAATGGCAGCCAGGACAGGCATGATCCACCCAAAGCAAACTATGTGTCGTCTTAAAAAAGCAATTTGGAGCTGCATTTGCTATTCAGACCAGCCTGATGTGTTTAAACAAAGGCTCTATTCTTTAATATATACAAAATATATGTGTATATATATAAAAGAATCCTTTATAGGATGTGTCCGGATGAGCATCCCTCCAACTCCCTGCTTCTTTTTCTGGACTCAATATGCTTTTTATTATTGCTATCATGTCTTGATGTACCCCAGGCTTAAAACAGCACATGTTTAAGGCTTTTCTTTCCTCACAATCACTTGCTGGGTAATCAAGTTACAAGCACATTGAAGTATTTAAGAACATACACCATTTCCAAGATATACTACATGTATAAGAATTTGGTAAATGAATTTTTTTTAAAAGCTTCATCTTTAATGAGGAACTTTCTGCTACTTCATAGTTCTTCTTCTTTTTTTGCTTTAAGATTAAAGTTTGTTTCTTCTTTTCCTGTCACATTATCAAGTTAAAAATACAATAAACTTATTTAAATAAAAATCTTCACAGAAGTCCAATATTGTTAATCACAAAATTTTTATTGAACTATCTCTTCTTCTTAATAGTAATTCACACAAAGATATGTTAGTTTAATAATTTAAGTGAGTCTTAGGTGAGACTTTAGGTAAGTCCTGTCATTATTCAGTCAAAAAAAGTCAACTTCATGAATTTTGCCTGAACATCAACTTCAGGATTTGGCCTTTGGAAACTAAGCTTTCCATTATGATAAGCTGTATTTGCATTTCTCCAGCTTATACTACCACTCTTTGAGAGAGGTAGATGCTACAGCAAATCTGTAGCACAGTGATCGTGCATCACACGGCCAAAGGGGAGGCTGAATAAGACAAGGGACCAGAAACACAGGTCCATGTATTTGCAGGATAAACGGAGCTTTTTTATAATACTCAGGTTATTCAGAGGGTGGTTTTTATAGGAATTTAAAAAAAACAAGTTTCCACCCTCTCCGTTCCAATGTTCAATACCCTGTATAATCAACCAAAACTAGTGGGTTTCATCAGTATCTCTGTAAAACACCATTTGGTCAGACATTTGCCAGGCTTTTGGCTATTCTTTTTTAGTTAAATTGCCTACATACTAGTGTTTTGAAATAAAATATAATATAGAATGTTACTCCTCTCTTCTCTCCTCTTCCATTGCTATTACTCGGGTACAGGAATATCTAAGACGGTGAACAAACAGGACAAAGACTTGCAAAGCCATCAAGCAAACATCATTCCTACCTCCAGCCTGGTCCTGTCCACATCCTTAGGCAATTTCACACGCACTCGGTTTGTTACAATAAGTGTTTCGTAAGGATAAATCTGTTAAAAAGACAAGCGCATATGAACTCCAGCCAAATCTGATTCTGGTGTGGGGAACTTACTAATTTAAACGGTACATACTTGCATCCTGATTTGACAAATATTTCACTGGGACAAAAATTAACAAAATATAAAATAAAAAAAGAAACACATGTAACCTTGCTAGGAAGTGCTGAATCTGATTGTTCTTCCAGTGTTGGAAAAGCCCTTCTTACCTTGTATTCTGCAAGAGAATGAGAACAGGTTCACCGTTTAGAATTTATAGGCTTCTTTTGGAGTCACCGCAATGAACGCTTAGGTACATCAGCAATTTGTTATGCTACTACAATTCTCTCCTCTCAATAGCTGTTGGGTAACTGCATGCGTAGCAAGCATTTGACCCCCCTGCTGCGAATGCCTAGAACACTGTCTATTACCGAAACGATAGTCCTTCAAATCAAAGGCTTATTACAGAAAATCCATCTCCTGAGGCCATTGGGTTACACTGAGTATGTCTGGCAAGGCAGGGAATTTCTTTTTACAGGAGGCTTTTGTGCAGAGTTAAGTCAGTCAGTTTGTCATCCAAAAGTCCTGCCCTTATTGTTCTTTACTGAAAACAGTTAAAATATATGGATTACTATAGGCATGTCAGTTTGGGAACATGTATGAAAATCACTGAGTTAATACAATATTTCAAGATGCCAACATCCTGCTCTTGGACTGACTGCAGTGGGAATAAGGATAGTGAAGACAAGATGATTTGGGTGTGCGGGGACAATGATTTCTGGATCTAAACTAGCACAAGAGTATTCTAGTTAGGTCAGTATACGACTATATAAGATGTGACTGCCACCAGGTCATCTATTCACTTCGATAATTAAATGCAACCAGGAGAGCCAGTATGTTTTCATAGACCTTTTTATGGTCTGAAATGAAATTGGAGAGAAGTTCAAAAACTGTACTTTAAATTATTCAAAAATAGAGACAAAGATTTGTATCAACATCAGGGCATGAAATGGAGCATTAGCGTAAGATTTTTAAAACAAGATTAAATGTCTTGGAAAAACAAAAAATCCTACTCTTCCTCATGAGCAGATGTATGTTCCTAAATTGTTCAGCTCTTTTGAAAATTCCAACCCAAGTTCCATATTAAGTTCACAGTCCACTTAAACTGTAATAAAAAAATGAATGCAAATAAATCTGCTTTTTGAATTTTGTACATTTTAACCACACTGTAGCACAAACAAGAAGCACAATGGACTTCTTTTAGATATGTCTTGAAGGAGTGATTATCTTAAATTTCTTCCTCTCTCTGATACGAGACCACCACCTGCTAAGCAAAGAGAACCAGAGGCTCTTGCTGCTTATTGAGGATACTGGGATTGACTCAACATGGTTGCACCACTTCATGATGCAGGACTTCAGTCAGGCCTTTATGTTCGGTCAAATAAAAAGAAGATTCTCTGTGATAAACACGATGCTGAGCTGGGTCTCTATCTCGTCAGTCTTAAGTGAACTATGGAAAGATCTCAGAATAGTATCCCTTCGGCAAGATGTTAATGAGTATCCTAAAGGAAGAAAACATGAACTGGAGTGGAAATGATACTGCAACGTACCTTTCATCCCCCAGCTTGACTCCTGGTCCGTTTCGTATTGGCCCATATTTTCAGGCTGAAAGAGAAAGAAAGCAGCAATGTAGCAGCAAAACACACCACAAAATTGCTCTGCACATTGTTGAGAGAAGGAAGAAAAGCAGACGGTACCACTGCAGATCCTTGTGAGAGAGAACGAGAATAGAGTTTCATTCAGACTTGACCCAGTTGCTCAAGGCAGGAGTCCCGAGTGCTCGCACACGCCCGACCGGTGTCGGCAGAGATGGAGCTCTGCCTGCAGGCGAGGACGGGGTCTCAAGTGCACGCCGGGGTCCTCGGAGGCACAGCGGCTGCAGCTTGCTGCCTGCGCCGCGAACTCCCACAGACCAGTGACGGCTGGAGCTTGGATATCACTCCGAGAGGCAACTGCAGTGTTGTATCAACCCACCTCAGCCCTAAGCCCTTTGGAGGTTTTCGAGCTTTGATTCCCCACAGCTTTCAATGAGGCAGAAAGGTGTCAGAAAGCCACCAGGCACCCCTGCTTGAAGACCTGGCACTAAAGTGAGATTGAAGTTGCCTTTTCCTGCGATGCAGACATCTTCCTGCAGCTGTTACAGCAGACCAGATCATTCAACATTGCACTGAAACTTGTCTCATTCTGCTTTCCGCTTCACCCTGCGGATGCCACTAAAGACCAGGGAGAACTGCGTATGTGCCACAGCTTTGTTTGACTCACTGTCTTTTTTCTTTGCAGGCAAATGCTATGATGACAAACATTATAGGAGATCAGAAAAGCACTGTTATATGATTTTTTTTCCCCCCTGAGTCTCATGTTTGCCTGGTAGGCTATCAATGGTGTGCACAGCTATACTCACAATAACCTGCACGGCTCCTTTTTTTTTTTTTTTTTTTATTTTGTTACTCAGCACAGGGATGGCTGATTAAAAATAACAAACCACAAAAGCTGGTATGAACCTGCAATCCAAACGGAGGACACCCATTCTGAGAAGAATTCTGGCCTCAAGGATTTGACCATGAACAGCCTTTTCAACTTTTCCAGTTTTCGGCTGCGAGGTTAGAGCCCCTGAAGGGGGACAACTGCTGCCATCTGCTGCTTTCATATGACATTGCCTGGCTTCAGCCTGCAAGCGCAGCCAACTCCACTGCTGACGGAGTTCTGCTTTGGCCTCATCGCTATGGAGCCTTCTGATGGCTTTGGTGCCTCACCAGTGCAGTGGCTGGGCACAAGTCGGTCCCCTGCTCACTTCAGGTTACTGGTAACAGTTATTCTGAATATTCAGAAAAAAGCTGTTGACTCCTAAGCGGGGACAGACCTTTTCTAACTCCTAATTCTCATTTGATCAAGTTGCAGTGCCACTGATTCCTTCAGAGAGGAATTCAAGCAGTCGGGTATTAAAGCAACACAGGCACAATTAATCTTGTAATATTAACTCAAAGGGATGGCCATTTCAGTAGCTACTGAAAAATTAGTTTAGCTACTCTCTCAGCTCCTTTCTTGTAGCTCCTTCTAATGACCTGCAGATTAACTCATCATTGGGGAAGTTTGATCCTGCTCATGTACTTTTGCAGGTTTCACATCTTCCTTGGATGGAAGGAAGGAATTTGAATGAGATCCTGTCCATGCAATTTAAAGACAAATCAGTCTTCAAATGTAAGTGCCTATGTGTCTATATATTGCCAACTTATTACTATTTGTACCTAAAAATTCAAGTCATGAACTGAGAACCCATAATGCTGGATGCCTGAGAGAAAGAGAGACCAGAGTGTCAAAGATGCCTTTTTCCTGAGGAATTGCAAAAATTGTAATAAAGGATTAGAAAAAGAACCCCTAGTCTGATCTGATCACGATTTTGTTATGCATTTTGCTTTCTAGACTGCTGCCTGACATCCTCTCTGTATTGCTCCTTCCCCTGCCTTAAAAGTACAATGACTCTGTGTGTGTGTGTATATATATGCGCGTGTGTGTGTATATATATATATATGCGCATACTGGAAAAAAACAGAACAGATGGTTCAAGAAATGCAATGGATATGGGCTACTCCCCCTTTTCTCTAAGATCATTACTTGCCTAATTATAGGCCTAACCCTCTCTATCTTTAATTCAAGCTATACTCTGATCTATTAGTATGTGCAGCCTGTACCTTTTGGACCTCTGTTTCGGGAGGAGAAACGAGATTCCTAATGCTCATGACACACATGGTCAAAAGGAGAAGCCTCAGTCTGTCTTCCTCTTGCAGACAGACAAACGTAACCTGCATGGGGTATGAATCTGCCAGACAGTGCTGGCAGCCGAAACGCCTTTGAAGTGTTATTACTGTGTAGATTTTCAAGTAGTTACTAAGCTGCCTATTTATGATACACTATTGCCTGGAGAATGCATTTAAATGTATACCTACCTGATGCAAGCCGTTCTTCCCATAACCAGGCAGAGAAGCAGATTTAGAATATGGAAATCCTGTAAAAGACATAACATACCGCTGTGTTTTTTTGTAAATCCTTTACAGCCTACTAAAACACAGAAAGCAACCAGAAAGAGCAATTACAAGGTCAACATGTACATTCTATTAGCAGGATGAAACGTAACTGAGCAATGCTCATCTTTCCTCTGTACTGGATGTACACAAACACATGTAGCAATGTCTATAATAGAAACAACAGCATGCCAGGATGCACTCACCTTACCAGGCATGACATGAAGAGCGTTATGGGACTCACATTACAGAAGCCTTATGCAACTACGTGATGTAAAGCAGATTTGAGAGCTTGTGAAATACCTGCCCTCCAACTTGGTGTTAAACCATGAGTTGAAAATGGGATTAAAGGTACCGTCGTTTTAGAGTTACATCACTTCTGATCATGATGTATGTGGTTTGGTTTTGGTTTTGTTTCTTAAAAAAGAAGGGCCGGTATCATACGACTTAAAAAAAACACCCACCAAAAAAGAATTTGCTTTCTTTAAAACTTCTACTGCCTCAAGTGGGAAAAAAGCATAAATAAAGGTATAGCAATGGATAAAGTAAATCACTGAGAGTATAAACACTCAAGAGAAAGTGAATTTTAAGATAGAAAAAATTGCCAAAGTGGTTTTACCATGAACAAACTGGATGTAATTTTCATAATGATGAAACTGTGCGCGGTCAGTATGAAACAACTGTACAACCTTAGTTTTAATACTAATAAGAAAGTTTGGAAGTTCCTTTTGTCAGTGAAAGGATAAAAAGTGTTTCAGATTAGTTTCTGGTTAATAAAAATAACACTGTATAGAAGTGACAAGCTGAATCAGTTTAAATGAAACAGAAGATGAGCAAACATGTCTGTCATAAACATTCTTGATTCCAGTACAGAAAATTTTGATAAATTGATGGAAAGAGTTAGAGAAGTCAGTTAGCTCAAAGAACTGAATGTACAATGCTTCTTTCTGTCAAAAACGTTAGCAATCTGTGTCCAAAGGGGAATGCAGGAAGGGAATCCAGACCCCACTGGATTAATAAATACCCTAAGGAGATGATTAGGAATAAGCATACAGAAAGAAAAAACAAAAGATGGATCAGCAAAGAGCTCATGATGTGCTGAGATAAAGCAAGAACTGCCAGAAGTCAAGCTGAGTTAAACACTGAAAATGATATTAAAACAAATAGTAAAAGGTTCCCCAGCTATCCAAATAAAAAGAGAACAAGGAAAGAAGAAATGGGGTCACTGGGAGTTAGGCTATGTCGGTACACAGCAGAGGTGAAAGGTAGCCTAGGTAGGGCTCCAACACTGAAAGAGTATTTCAGCTCCGTTTTTAGGAACAAAAGGTAAAAAGCACTGAGCAATGAGGGAAACCTAACGGAATAGAGGTACACCAACGAATCACAGCCGTGATGGAAACATAATTCAAAGCACTTAATGTAAGCAGTGAGCGACAGGCTCACATCGAATTGCAAGTCCAACACCTCTTACACTGGAGAACAGCAACTATGGTTCTTATATTTAAGAGTGGAAAAAGATATGAGGAACTATCAGTTTGCTTCCAACAGAAAACTTAAGGAAAGGCTGAACAAAATCATCGAAGTAAATAGAAAATAAATGATATTCACATAGATTTTAATTGGTTTGACATACGTAAGTTAAAGACACAGTGCCAGACTTGCTTGGTAGCTTGCTTTGTTCAGAGAAGGCTGAAGAGGAGGCTGAGGGGAGACCTCATCGCTCTCTACTGCTACCTGAAAGGGGGTTGTGGCGACGAGGGTGTTGGTCTCTTCTCCCAAGTAACCAGCGATAGGACAAGAGGAAATGGCCTCAAGTTGCACCAGGGGAGGTTTAGATTGAATATTAGGAAAAATTTCTTCACTGAGAGGGTGGTCAGGCATTGGAACAGGCTGCCCAGGGAGGTGGTGGAGTCGCCGTCTCTGGAAGTGTTCAAAAAACATGTGGATGTGGCGCTTCAGGACATGGTTTAGGGGACATGGTGGCACTGGATTAATGGTTGGACTTGATGATCTTGAAAGTCCTTTCCAACCTTAGTGATTCTGTGATTCTGAGAAATGAGTTCTGCACAACATAAATTTTATTGGATCTTCTCTAATGTGATATCATTAAAGTGTTTGGTATTTGGCCACACATGGAATTAAATGCAAATCTGGAGAAGACAGGGTTTATCGGAGGAATTATAGAGTCAGTAAGTAAATAATGAAATGTAAGAAATGGGTAGTGAGAACTGAGCAGAGCTGATAGAGAAGTGTGTCAGCATGGACCAGTGTTGAGCTGAAATTGCCTAACATTTTCACTAAAAATCTAGACACCGAAAATAGTAATGGGCTAATATACTTTGCTGTCTACACAAAGTTATAAAGCACTGCCAATACAGAGGATGATTGAGATATCATAAAGGACCAGGATATCCTTGAACATTTGAGTAATAAAAACAGGATAAACTTTAATAATTCATGGGAAAAGTCATGCACTTGGGGACTAAGAAATACCCCAAACTTCTACTGTTTAAGCTGAGAGCTCATAATTTGGAACTGATGGAGAAGGAGACAGGCTTAGATACACAGCTCAATCACAAGATGACCTTGAGTTGCTAATATAAGTGGAAAAAAAAGCAAAAGTTGGAAACGTCTGTCCTGATACATATAAGATATAACTGCAGTGTTTTCAGGCAGTGACAGGAGATCCCAGCAGAATCTTTTTTGCTGTTCTTGTTCATCAGTGTTCAAGGGAGTTAAATTAACTCCACCAGACTAGTGGCCTACAGAATAACTGGAGCAATGAAAGCTCATCGCAGGAAAGAAGGCTTGATGAGCTTGATTTATTTAAGCCAGCAATATGAAGATGATCTATAAAACCAAGAGATGTTTTAGAAACATAATCAACCACCATTTGAGGAGTGCTATAAACTACAAGCATAACTTTTGGTTTAAGTCCTGCATAGGGTTTCCATGTCTGATACAGGCACGTAGTGATGAATACTGAATTAGATGGATGCCTTACCTATTCCAGTTTGGAAACTGGAAACTTACCATTGCTTGTTATCTGAATGGTAATGACACCAGAGGGCAAAGAGTATAACACCTTTGAGATAGAGCGAACGTATCTGCCACAAAATTGTAATCTCTAGTCCTGCCTGGAAAAAGCTGCTGGTGTTGAACATCCGTGCAGAGTTCAATTTCTTGTCCTCTTGGGCTACACAAAAGACGGTGGGATGGCTTTGTTCTATCGCCAAATAGTATTACTCAGTTACCAGGGAAAAATGCATTAAGGTAAAGACCACAGTTTGAAAACAAACGCAATTCACGTTAGCACGTAGAAGCTGAGGAGCTGCCTCCCAGGCTGCCAAGACTGAGCCACATCTGTGGGCACAAGTGACATCGTGTGGCCGGCTGGAAAAAATCCAAGAGGCGAATAAAGTCTAGAGTAGCCCAAAACAAGTCAGCGAGAAAAGACCCACTGACTCCAGTGGGAACTGTATTTCACTTAGCTTCTGTTTCCCGTGAACTTAGTTGCAAAGTTAAACATGTTTTATATTGCTGCTTTGGTTTTTTAATATAAAGAAAAAATATAACACTAAAAGCCAACAACTACATACTGCTCATTATCACATCCAACTGCAGTTGTACTGTTACAGTAAACTTTCTGGAGTAACTGGCCAAGATAAAGCAATCTTTCTCCCTAATTAGGCACTATCTGAACATGAGCTACTCTCTGCATGGATACAGCTCCTGCTTTTTCCAGTATGACATTCACTCTAACCTGGATATTCTGAGGTGCCTTTCACCACATTAGGGACACATGAAGAGCAAGGGTTACACAGCTCGCTAGATGTCTGCTTTCCTAAATATGTGACGCTTAAAATAATGAATTATGGCAAATGATTAACTATTAAACATCTACATGTACAGAAACAAGACACATTTATACAGGTTGTGTAAGGAGATACAGTCCCTGATGCTTAAGTCTTCAATGCAGCTGGACATGAGCAAGCTCCACTCCAGATGCCTGCTAATTACACAAGCCTTATACTGATGTGCTTTGCTGTTAGATGTATTCTTCTGGGCCTATAGCTAACGTAATGTGGCTAAATATGTTCTAGAGCAGCATAACCCTTCTCTGGTTTGCTCAGAGGCTGGCTGGCTGGCTGGCTGGCTGGCTGGCTGGATGAATGCAGGGCTGTTTGCACAGTACGTTTGAACACACCACCAGAGACTTGCTGTCTGATACCTGCTAACCCCTCCACTCTGCATGTAACCATTTGGCACCAAACCTATACCCAAAAAGTTTATTTTCTCTGATACTGCCTGACTATGCCACAGAGATGGGGCTGAATGTCAGAGTTCTCAACCGTAAGTGCAAGAAGCTACCCTTCTATTTGCCACAGGGCATGTGAAGGATTACAAATACTCAGAACTAAACAGGGAAACATTGAGTAGAGAAGGAATTACTTAGGATGTCCATCGGTAATAAAACAGTCAGGTAGCTGAATAAAATCAGAAAGAAAGGGAAAAAAAAGAAGCGTGAATGTCAGGAAAACTTCCTCAATGTCATTTTTGTGTAGCTGCTAATTGGATAAGAGGGCCAACTTTCACAAGGGATAGAGAAATGCTGAGAAAAAACAACTGAAAATGCACTACACAACCATCGGCCCACAGGTGATATTGACCGTGACAGAGGTGTAAAGCATCTTTTGCATTTCTAGTTTTAATAGCTCCACATTCCCAAGATAATAAAAAAACATAAAAGAAATGCTAGTATAGAAGAGTGACATGTGTAGCAATAGTCTCATGAAAAAATTGACACTGTATGTTATTCCTGTGTAACACAGTTCTTGGTGTACTACGTACTTCTCCCTACCTAAAATTTGCACACAAGAACTATTCCCTCAATGCATGTGTAGAAAAGCATCAGAACCACTCCAGAAAGCTTCCAAACATACCCGATGTGCACATTAAAATGAAAGGTTTAGGTGTTCATTTCTGGGCAATGACTTAGAGATGTTAGGTGTGTGAGGTGGTCAGACTTGGCTTCCCCTGCACAGGGAATCCTACAATACACCTTGTGCACATGTACGTGATGCCTGGGGAGGACTAAGGAATCAACTCCCTTCAGGTTAGACCAGTGAGACTGATGATCTAAAATAACTTTTCTTCTTTATCTTGTTACAGCCTTGTGACAGACTGTAGCATCTGTTTTTTCCTCTCCTTTGCATAGCTAAGCCATAATTTCCTTAATATGAGTTGATGGAGCCAGCTATCACATTACCAAAATGCCCACAAGACTGACATCCTGGCCCTGCTGCCAGACATGCCTCGCATTGGATGCATTCTTTGGAAAACTGCTTCCCCAACTTGTTTACCCCGGATGACCTGCTACTGTTGTGTGGTGTAAAGTGGAGAAGGCAGGGACAGGAATGGCCAAGATATCTTTTAAAATTAATTTAAGCTATTTTTTTGTCATTTATGTCATCTAAAAGTAAAATTCAGACCTGATTCTGATGACCATTTCCTTCACCTCTGGACTTGCTGAAATGCGGAGTAAGAAATGTGTAGAACATGCTTTTGGTACTGACAGCTTGGATGGGCATATGGTCTTCAGACCAGTATTCGGTAACAAAATTACCCCATTATTCCACCTGGAAGATTTCTGTGAACTTACAGGTATAACTGTGAGCAATAACAAAAAATGCCTATTCTAAGTTAACCTTTGGAGCAAAGTGTTCTTTATGCTTATCACGACACAGAAGAAATGGCTCTAACAAGATTCAACATACATAGTCTTTACCAAGGAGTAATTAGCAGAAGTCAACAATCTGCCTGATACTACCACCCTGTCTATTGAAAATAGGTATCACATAATAAATAGGCACTTTTATGTATTAATGTGGGGCAGGGTTTTGTGGTAAGGAACCTCTGCTCTCCAGAGAGACACTAGTTTCTTTATACAAGCAATGCTGCTTCTTTCACTAACAGGAAACTACAAATAGTTTCACTATCGAAGTCTGAAGGCACTGAACGCTTACAAGCCATTGCAAAACAAGCTGACAAATAGGTGTAATTATGATCGAGAAATGAAGCATAAAGCCAGCTAGAGAGCTACGTGGACGAGGCTGCGGCAGGGCCACCTTCCCTTGCCTCATTCCCACCCCGCAGCGCCGGCGGGCCGGGGGATGCAGTACTCACGGGAGTAGCCGGCAGTCGTGCCCTCCTGCGCCCTCGGGAAGTTTTCTCTGTCGGTTCCGGCAGTAAGAGACAGGGACCGTGTGTCCGAATCCGGGGAATTAGTTCTGGTGTCCATGTCCCCTTTCAGGATAAGCCAACTGGTCTTTAGCTGGAGAGAGTAAAAGCCCATTATAGGATTCAGGATTTAAGATCTGAATGCAGTTCTCCTGCTTCACAAGTCCTGTGAATGGACTGTACGTTTATGCTTGGTACATCCCGCACCAACATTTACCACGTTACAAAAGTTGACCATATCATGGGACTCCCCACTAGACATCAAGTTGACCATATCATGGGACTCCCCACTAGACGTCACAGCTACCAGAAACTTTTGCAGCTGGGCTGAGGATCTCTGCTAATTCAGCTGCCCACTGTCCTCCCCTTTAGAAGATGCACTATGTTATTTTCTTATAATTAATCTGCTATTAACATTTTTCTTGTATGTTAACATGCACCCTAAGTAAAAGTCCCCAGGCTTAGCTGAATCACCAGTGTATATATTGAGACGGAGTGAAAATCCATGAGCTTATTGCTCTTAATCTCAATTTCTTTCTTTACTGTAGAATATAGATTCTAAACCCTCTGGGTGAGATATTAAGCTTTTCTATATCTTCTTGGAAAGACCTAAAAGTAGTAATGATTGTTTCAGTTATATGAAAAAATATCTTTATGTCTAAACACGTTTTAAAAAACAGTTGCTTCAAGAAAGATCAACAAACTACTCCCTTTTGTTCTTTCTGATCATTACCTTCTTACTGTCCTGATCCAAGCTCCCGTCCTCCCCTTCTGATCTTCTTGCTGCTGGAAGATTAAGTTGATTTTAAAAATTAGAAGAGGTTACATATTTTTTGTCTTTTGTTTTGACTGTGATTATGTGCCAAATATTTTTAAAGGGGAAAAAAACAATTAAAAAAACCCCAGAGCTGGGCAGAAAATTCAGTATGTAGAGCTATGGTTTCACAGAATTACTTAAAATAATTTTGAAATTACTACAGTAATACTCATCCTTCAGGCATACAGTGAATTTAGACAATGTATTATTTGAACCTATCTTTTTAGGAAGAAACTACTTTTGGGGAATGATTGCTGGGAAGAAACCTACACCATAACTTAGAGACAGATTTATATGGTCACTGCACATGGAGCAAGTAATTTCTGCATTCTTCTGTGTCACCACCACCATGAAAGTACACATGGTTACACTGATATTTTGTGGTCTGCACACCTGGGCCTCCTATGTTCCCAAAAAGGGTAGGCAATGACGGTAAAGAAGATCGGAACAAATTTGGTATTACCGCTTCATGAAATCTGCAAGAGAGGCTGTGTCAGACGCTAAAATTCACAATTCTAGGACTACCATTTTTCTGACTATACTGGCCTCTTAAAGACTCTTTTAACAAAAAAATATTGCTGGTATTTTACCATTAGTTTATTTTTTTGTAGCTTTCCAACTTGCTGAGAAGAAAAACTCAAAACTGAAAACCTAAAACCTATTCATTAGATAGTTCCCAACCATCAAATGTGGTTTTTTCCTTGTGTTTTATGTCCTAGAGTATTGTTCCAGACATCGAGCCACACCTCAGAATCTTACAGAAAGATTTTTTGCCAAATTTCACATCATTTCAGATAACGTCCCAGAATTTGAGTCCTACTAGCCAACTCTATGTTGATTTGGGGAGAGCTTTAATGGTACAAAACTGGAGGAATGCAATGATTTAGCATAATTTTAAGTCCATGAGAAATCAGCCCTACAAGGGGGTTGACTGCAATGCCTGAGCAACACAAGAACCCCATGCAATGCAATATAGCCAGAAAACATATTTATTAATAATGAAAATAGTATTATAATACAAAAGTTATGGCTCAGATTAGACTCTCAGAGGTGAGGAGGAGATCAAGTTGCACTGCTGGAAGTGCTGCAACACTCCCAGCAAGGTGGGAACAAATCTGCCCTCTCCGATTCCCAAGCCAGCATGTTTGCAGAGGATCTGCCCTGCATCTAAACACCACGGTCAAAAGGCCACCACCGTCAGCATTTCAGTGCTATTCTGTTTCATTTTCTGGTGCCATCACACAGCTCACACCCAGACCTTAACTGGTTTTGTTGAGGAGGTGATACTTAAAAAAATGACAAATTGCAGTAAGGAAAAAATGTATGGGTTAGAGGTGAAAATCTGTAACTGTAGAGTGTTGTTTTTTTTTTTTTCTCAATTTAGTGTGGCAAAACAAAGCTGGGCCGTGAAATAAAAACAGCATTGTGAAAAAAATCAAGTTTTTCACAGTTAGCTTCCTGATGAGGACATTTTCCCAAGATGGCAAGCTGCTTCTCTGAGAAATAAATAGGAAGCAATATCCATGTGTGACAGATGAAAAATAAAGTCCCTACATCGCAAGAAGGACTTAAACTTGGTTCACTGATATTTTGGGTGCATGCCCTAAATCAGTAGTCAACAACTTGTTCCAGGTTATATGTATGGATCTTGCTCTCACTAAATCAGAAATCCGTATAGAGAAGCTGATGCACTTTTGGAAATTGTTTTTGTTTCAAGATGCTGATGTTTTCAAAGGAAAGAAACAAGTTTAATCCAAAGTGTTATTCAGAGATTTCAAATGTTCCACAGAATCTCGAGAGCATCTCACATCAAAATAGTTAAACACCAACGTTTTATACAGAGTTGCACAGGAGTACAACCAAAACCAGTGGGGGCCATGAAGGTCTGCCCCTCCCAGGTTCCTGAGAGGGCTTTATACAACACATCGTTAGCAGATAAATCCAAGTGGCCTGAATTTCATCAGTACTGAGCATTAGCTTCACCGCTACAGGGGGTACTCAGTTCTGCTGTGAACCCCAATGTGAACTGCCTGTTTCACACGGACCAGCGCCAATATTGCCAAAGAGCAAACCTCTTCAGGTTTTTTTTAAGCTTTGAATGATGTTAAATATTTCTGAAACATGAACACACACGAAAGAACGACCATGCAGGCTCCTGCACTCTGCACTTTCCGACCCCAGCTCTCAGCCTGATCTCTCATATGTCCCATTTTTCCACCACCCTTTTTTCATTCTGAAGTTGGGTGTTTATAAAGAAACACAGAAGCTGTAGCTACAGCGTATCTGTTGGGCACTGCTGTAACTGAAACCTTTTAAAGCCAAATGTTTTGGAAGAGCTTCTTGCACTTCTTGTTTTAAAGAACATTTTTGTGCTTGTTTGTTCAAACTTGGTCTCCTCAATAAAGGAATGTTCTCTGGCTCCTTGTCAGCATGTATCAGTTCAGTGTCCTGTTAGCTTGAAGAGCTGGATCATCAGCTGCTCACGCTTTAGCCAGGAGTTATTCCAGAATAAAAGGTAAATTTTATTTATTTCTTTTTTTTCCCCCCTAAATTGTAAGGAAAGTTCATTTATTTTTTTGGTTTTTGAGTTAGAGTAAATTCTGTTTTACTCTTTAGTAGAAAAAGAACGTGCATATATTTTCAACACAACCTTTCAGAACATCTATAGTCTATAAAAGAAAGTTTAAAACGTATATCCTTGTTAACCCACAGAGACTGCTGACTCGATAATTTAATTCCCTGCTCACTCCAGTGATTACAAGGAACAACTCCATACAGCAGTGCAAAATTGACATAATCCAGACATCCACTGTATATCTGATGGACTGAAAATTGATATCAAAATGCCTGGCCTGGAACAAAGAAAGCTGCTGCTTAGAATCCCCTTTGCAAACCAAAAATATCTATAAAATGAAATGACACAGCCAGGATACAGGACTTCAGAGCCATATTATCAGCTTGTATAAATCAGTGAAGCTATGCTGATTTACACCAGATGATAGTAACTTTGCATTTGCTCATGATCTTTCCAAACACCACTGTAATATTCAACATTTTCCTTTGCCAGTAGCTTTTTTTGCTCAGACTGAGTAGTTGCCTCAAATGATTTGTATATCTAAAGACAAGAAGGAAAGAGAGACTGTAAGGTTGGTAGATTACATTAAATCAAGCACTAAACCAAACCGCTACTACCTTTTTGCCTGACAGGTGACATTAGTTTCTCCAAGATCAGCGTATTTTGAGCAGAAAATGTCTATCAAAGACAAACACCTGAAGTGCACTGAAACATCGGCAAGTCTGGCTTTGCTGAAAACCACACCCAGGAAAACCGCAGAGGTTATCTAAATCCGGATGATCTGCACGTGCAGTTACTTCAGCACGAAGCACTGGTTACAGCGAACGTGCACAGGCTGATCACGCAGCTGGGAGACATCAGTTACAGAATCACAGCATCACAGAATCATCAAGGTTGGAAAAGACCTTTAAGATCATCAAGTCCAACCGTCAACCCAACACCACCGTGCCCACTAAGCCACGTCTTGAAGGGACACGTCCACATGTTTTTTGAACACTTCCAGTGATGGTGACTCCACCACTTCCCTGGGCAGCCTGTTCCAGTTGGCAATTTTCTTTCTATTACTGTATCAGATCCAAAGTAGATCTTCATCCAAAACAGAAATAACTGTTATTTTCCATGAAAGATAGTAAAAAAAAGATAATGACATAAAAGCATAATTTTTAAAACTATGTTAATTGGGTATTTGAAAATCAGTTAAAGCCCCCGTTACCACAAAAGAAAAATATGTAAAATGTATTTTCCTTGTTCTGACCATGAAGGCAGTGATGTATCTGCAGTCCTCTAACCCTTCACCAAGGGAAAGTTATCAGCTCTCAGCTAAAGCCAAAGTATGGGAGAAGAGGCACAAGGAGCTTTCGCACTCTCACGTACAACGTGGGAAGCCACCTGTGTGCGGACAGTGCTGCAGAAGGCAAGAGGATGGGAGGAACTGCTCCAACGGGCACTGCTCACAGGCACAGGCTGGACCTTCACTTGCCATGAAGAGCGGCGTAGCTTTGTTCTCCTACCTGTATCCCTGAAGATACATGCTTTCATCCCCAGAGTGCCTTAGCTCACAGTGTGATGAACACCTCTGATGTTTACTTTATTCTCTCATTCATTCCTAAGCAGGGGTGCAATCATGATTAAAATAAAGTTTTTTGTGTGGGACAGACTTATATCACATATTTTACTTTATTTTATTTTATTTTAGTCCTTTGCTTCGTGGCACTTTGGAACTTGGTTTAGTGGGCATGGTGGTGTTGGGTTGACAGTTGGATTTGATGATCTTAGAGGTCTTTTCCAACCTTAATGATTCTGTGATTCTACGATTCTGTGATTCTGAGTACAGGAGTACCGCAGTTGTAACTCTCTTAATTACAAATGTGCTCCTGCACTTTCCAGGCACCCTTATTGCAGTGGAATCCCTACATATTTGTTTCCAAAGATTAATAGTGCAATTCAGTTTAGAAAAATGAATTTCCTATTACTAATCCTGTATCATGAACCAAGATCACTGTCAAACATCACTGAGAACACAGTAGGCACTGACAACATGGAAATCGCATTGATGTTAATTAGTGACATTTACAAGAAAAATAATAACAGAAGAATGAAGACGTTATATTTCTATTTTTCATATATACTAGGGTCTTAAGTCAGATTGTCAGTGGCATAAAACATCACATATTTCTTTCTGTTTAGAAACTCAGACAGCAATCTTGTTGCTGGATCTACCAAAGGTTTTCCAATCGTATCTTCCTCATGTTATCAGCTACTGAACTTGTTCCTAACTACCATGGTGTGACTACATTTGTTCTCGATATTTTACAGCTTGAAGAGTTTGCAGCTGAAAAGCAGATATTTCATATAGCCCACTTATCAACGAACATTTTTTTCCCCAGCAATGTAGAAGTCAGAATTATTTACAAGAATTAGATATCCCAAGGCATCGTCTGAAAACAGGAGAGCAACCTTCAACATTTACATGTTTTACATCATTCCATCAATAAGAAAACTGCTTTGAAGTTCATATCAGCTCTGAATTACCAAGACAAATCAAAATATCATTATCTGTTTCAGAGAACTTACTGAATCCTTGGACAGCAATGTTATATAATTTTCACATTATTTTTTTTCCTTTTCTATTTGAGATTATAGGGATATAACGTAATGCAAAGACTACAGCAAACTAATTTGGAAGTCAATATGCATTTCTTTACAAAGACATGTAGAGAAAGCTGCAACAGAGAAAAGCAGACTGTACCATGCTGTTTGTAGATAGGAGGTTTCCTATAGATGTTATCTTTTACGCCAGTGTCTGAGAAAGAGGAAAGAGAAAGGAAAGAATGAAAGAGTAAGCAAGCATTTCAGACCATGCTGCTCTTGTCTCCTCTCAACAACACTAAAATGCAAACACTTGAGCAAAGACTACGCATCCATTCACTGATTTGTCATTCACAAGAGAATAAAGACTTACCTATCACCTTGACATATTTAAAACGTTGGCTATACCCACCTATGCAGCATAAGCCCCCCTAAGTCCCTCAAAATGCTTTAAGATGCCTCAAGTGGCATCGTTTGCTGAAATGTAGGTGGTTACACCTGCACTACCAATGTGTACTTCAGAGACAACACAGAGAAATTGTCTACACTTGTCACTACTTAAAATTCATGTAAGGGTACCACAGACTACAATAATAGTCACACTTGAAAAGGGGCTTTCTCCATTAATTATGAAGAAAGTGCACATGTTCAGATATAGAGGTTTATGTTGGAAATTCCCAATATTCTTATAGGAAATCTTATAGTTTGTCTGTATTTTGAATTGTCTAGCTGACCTGACCTTCCAGGAATTTTTTGAAAGCCCCAGAGCCACAGTCCAGGGTTCCCATATCACGTTGTACAGACATCAGATTTACTTAGTACTACAGACCTGAGAAATGCCTAATTACGGTGTGTTCATAAAAATGTTAATCCCAGAAGCTAAACATAAATAAACAAACTATTCCACTGAGCAGATAGATGTGCTTAACAGTCAAAATAGCTAAACAGTGTGGACATAAATTTAATGTGCTTGTAAACTGAATGTGAACTTGAAAACAGTATAGTACATATGTAAAGACACAGCCGCAGTAAGCTTCCCGGTGGGCTAAAGTCCTTCAGCTATTTTTGAAGTCTATGTTAATAGGACTCTAATTCAGAGAGCAAATGGATAAGGAAAAAACCAAACACAAAACCCCCTTCAGCCTTCCCTCGGGCACACAAATTCAACAGAACTATGCAGCTGTGGCACTATAGATGTGGCTTTGGAGGCTTAATAACATTTGTCACTGTGTGCCGCCTCTAACACAATTTTTTAAAATATACATAAGCACACAGCTCTCATTTCTGAAACCAAGTTTAACATTTAACAGATTTTCACTCATCAGACATTTTCTTCTCTTGCAGTTTGAAGTTCACAAATAATTGCCAAAAAAAAAATATATTCAGAAGTGAATAAACAGGTGCCAGCAATTGAAGATCAAAAGCTAAGCAGTGAATGCCTACCTGGAATATGGAAATGCCTAGGAGCCTGCTGATAGACAGAAGGTGAAGATTTGCTGTCTGAGTACATGGATAAGCTTGGAGTGCTCCGACCACTTTCACTGCCTCCAAGGGGAAGAGCAAAGAAAGCAGATAAAAGAAAAAATGGAAAGCAAAGTAGAGTATTTCAAGCATAAAAGCCTGTTCAGAATGACTTGTTAATCCAACAGTTTTAAATACATGTTTTTTGTAAAACCCATTATTTTTCAGCAGTGTATTGGCTCAGTCTCCAAACGTCTCATCAATAATGAATATCTGATAAAAAATATCAGATTAAACTGCCCCACTTTGAAACAAAAGCTTCTCTTTTAAAAACACTTTAATAAAGAAAATAAAAGGTTAAGAACATCCACAATCTTGTAACGTGTTCTGCACAGCCTTAACTGAATGATCTATCAATCGAGTTTCTGAAAAGCTTAATGCTATGGCCTATAGCCTGGCCTGAAACCAGTAATGAAATTATCTCAAAGCAGGACTAGACCAAAAACCAGGTGCTACGGTTAAGTCAAGTATTCCTGCCTATATCAGTGACAGAAACAGGTGTTAAAATTTGGTTCTTAATTGCAAACTTTTCCCACAGGTAACATGCCACAGCATTTTATACTTATGCAAACAAGGTTGGATTATCAAGTCATGGGTCTATAATGCCATAGTCACTTCACCAAAGTTCAACATATACATAGGATTGATCTGTATTCATTTTTCCACTTGTTTTGTCAAATACTCATTAGCTGCCATTCATTTCCTCTTAGTTTATTTCCCCAAAGCACACTCTATGGCATTATAGTACTGCATGGCAAACAAAAAAGTAAAGCTCTACTTTTTTGGGACTTGTAAAATCCAATTAATTTACAGCACTGTTAAGCAACTGGAAGCCAAACATGACATTTATTCTAACATAAAATGTTTGTTAATTTGCTGTTATTGTTTTAGTGTGGATGGAGCACAAATTTAACGGCTAGTAACAATGAAATTATAGCAAGTTTTTTGGGGGTAAAGAAAGTGCAGCAGCTAAGAGTACTAGATCTGTAACTGAGTTTATAACTGTAAAACTGCTGGGCTACCATAACTATGTAGGCCAGGCCCATGGAGGTCTCTGCTGAACACTTGACTTGGT